AAATTAGAACAGACAAAAAGCCTTGTAAGCCTAGAGTTAGGTTCACTTTCAATACCTAAAACTAGATGCTTCCATGGCCATGTTAAAAACCACTCAAAATTCAACATCTCGTCTGTCTGAACAACACAAATTCACCGGAAGGCACTAGTCAATCTCCCTCTCCTTCTCTCCCATGAAAAGCTAAAACCTTCGGTAGCAAACAAAGCAGAAAGCCCATGGCTTTTCTTCTGCTAAATCTCTCTCCTTCTCTTCTCCACCTCAAATCTTCCCCCAAAGAAAAACCCATCCTCCATCCCCTCTCCCGTTCTCTAAAGCTGCAGGCCGAAACTCTTTCTCCCCTCTCCCTAGCCAGTGTTCAATCCCCACCCCTTCAAGGCTCTCAGGCCAGCACAACCCCAGGTGCACAGGATAAGCAACAGGAGCAGCACCAAAGAGACGAATTCTATGTAAACCTTGGCCTTGCTGTGAGGACTCTCCGCGAAGATTTGCCCTCGTTGTTCACCAGAGACCTAAACTATGACATTTACAGGTGATTTCTCCACTCGGGTGTTTCTTATTTTATTAGAATTCTGTTTCTGGACTGATTTCATCTTGTTTCCCATGAAAATTTAGTTTTTTTTTTGGTTCTCCAGGGATGATATAACGTTTGCAGATCCTTTGAATACATTTACTGGCATTGAAAATTATAAATTGATCTTCTGGGCATTGAGATTCCACGGTAAGATACTGTTTAGAGAGATTTCACTTGAAGTATATAGGATTTGGCAACCTTCAGAGAATGTGATATTGATTAGGTGGAACTTGAGGGGAGTCCCTCGAGTACCATGGGAGGCTAAGGGACAATTCCAGGGCACTTCCAGGTACAAATTGGACCGAAATGGCAAAATTTATGAACACAAGGTTGATAATCTGGCATTCAATTTCCCTCAGCCACTTAAACCTGCAGCCTCAGTGTTGGATTCGGTCACCGCCTGCCCAGCAAGTCCTAATCCGACGTTTTTGTGGGCGCCTGTAGACATGTACCCTTCTTCCTGGGTGGAGTTCTATCGAGCAGTTAGAGAGACATTGGATCGAGAAGGATATTTACTTGTGCAAGACGGTTTGATTACATGTTCATAGCTAACATCTAATTCAGACATGTAGTGCATTTCGTTTTGCATGAGATGGGAAATGATGGGTTCTGCTTTGTTTAGTTGAAAAGGTGTGTAGAGACACAGGCAGGAAAGCTTGAAGTTAAATGTTGATTCTTGCGTTGGTGAAGAGAAGATTGAGCATATTTGATCAGCTCATATATAGGTCAGATATTTAGAGTTGTATGCAACAAAAATGCAAGATCCACATTTTTATACATTTGTCAAATTCTTCTTGCCAAAAAAAGGCAGCTAAATAAGTACCAAAATATTCAGGTTTCTTTTCCCTGAAAACAATTTAAATTTGAACAAAAAAAGAAGAGTATGGAGCCTAGAAATATAAACCAGTTATCTCAAAATTGATGCATTCTATTTGTTTTTGTTGGGCTTCTGAAGAGAAAATCCCAAGTGACTGGGATGGAATGCATTTGTTATAGCAGCTGTGGTGCTTAGACTGTCAACCCTAGGGAGGTTGTCCTCTGTGCTTCCTGCCAATAACTCGGAGGAGGTTTCATAAGAACTATTACGAGAGGCATTGTTGACAAGGCAGTTGTACATTGCCATAGATTGAGCTATCATGTTGGCAGCACTGTCTGGAGCATTAGGAAGCAGCATTGTTGTGCCCTAAGAGAAGTAAACAGAGAAATGACAAGTTCCAAGACACTGTTAAAATCAATCAAACAATTATTATGAAATCAATTATTTACTGAAACCAAGTAGGGGACCCTTTACCTCCTTAGCAATGTTACCAAAGGCTTGAATGTACCGCTCAGCAATCATCAAACTAGCTGACTGCAAAGACAAATGCCAACCAGGACATTAATTTATTCCAATGTGCAATCCAATTTTGGACAAAACATTAAAGAACTTTCCTCTCTATGTGCACTGAATAGTGGAATGAAACTTTATTACAAAAAGAGTAGAACATTTCAACTAATGCATATCCTGAAGTTAACTACTGCATTATTCCAACCATGCATGCTCTTGAACATTCTAATACTTTCAAATTTTAAACAATTGCTCTCCAAGCTTATTCAATGAGATTGAAAGATGCTTGTGATTTGTTTTACCCAAACAATAATGGTTTTCAAAAAGACCAAGAAAGAACAGAAAAACTCAACGGATTAGAAGCAATGTGCTAACCACTACTACACACCGAAAGAACTTTAATCATGTGAAAACTTGTCACGCCAATATATATACCATTAAGTAGAGGAGCATTGATAACACTACCCTGAACAAAAAGGGAAACTTCTAATTCAAAGATACACCTCACGTGACAACGAGAAAAACATTTTAATTCATGGAAACCAGCATGCACATACACTATGAAGATGATGGGAAAGCCTCACCTTGTCTCCCCCACTTTCCTTCAGGGATTCTGACAGCAAGGTAATTCGTTTGCTTTCAGCTTCTCCTTTCAAAATGGTAGAATCTGCCTCACCTGATGAAAAAGTAATTTACTAAGAAAATAATTGAAGACATCAAAGATCACAAGAAGATGTGAAAAAGCTGCATTTTAAATAAGGACCAACAAGATGCTTTATTATATTGTCCAAATCAATTTGGTTAATCTACAGAATGGAGTTCTTAAATCAAGAAAACAAAAAATCAATTGACTTGGCATCAACTTCAATCAACACTTCCAAATCCCATATAAAGTTAATATTTAAAGGAAAGTAGATGACAACCATTAACCCTTGCCTATCTTACTTCCATTAAACAGTCATGAAAAATCATGCTTGCTAGATAAATTCCTATAACTGCAGATATAAATGATACTTTTAAACTTCTTAACATACACCCCATATCTTATATCAAAAGAAAAAAAAACAAATAGCATACTGCATTACTTTTAGTTTGAATGATTAGAGCCCTTGCTTTACGTTCTGCTTCTGCTTGCAAATCCATGGCTTTCTTCATATTAGGAGGTATGGTTATATCCGCTGCAAGAGAAAGAATAGCAAAGCAAATAAAGAGGATGTCTTTGGAAATAAAGAGATACAATGAGAAATAATAACTAAAAGGTTACTTACTTATCTCATAACAACGGCACTTGATGCCCCAGTCCTGAGCATCTACATTGATGTTCTCCTACAATAATCATTCCATATTAATTCTCCATAATCTACACATTATGAGAGTTTTACAATAGAAAGAGTTTTTGTTATTATACATTAGTACATGAAATGGAAAGAGCAAGAACATCCAAATTTCTTTGGCAATTATTTAAGAATGATAATATCATTCCATCCCCTAGAATATATAAAGAATGTCTTCTGAAGAAAAAGTACTGCAGAGGTCCGGATAAGGCAGCAGTAAGAATTCGTAAGAATTCATTCTGGATAAAGGGGAAAAAACTTTCCTGGCCTAACTTGTGAATAGCAAGCACAAAAGCATTGGTACAAAGGTCAAAAGATGGTAAAGGTTTAGCATATCAACCTAGCCAGTAGCCACACTAGTATAAAACAATAGCCAAATTTGGTGCCACTAGTTGCAAATCTTCAATAATGAGGAAACCATTAGCATAGGTGAATATTGTAAAGTTGGTTAAGTTAGGTGAAAAAGCAATTTCATCCAACATCAAATTCTTAAATATCTTCACAGCAAAACCATACATTCAAAACAAATGAAGATGTACTATCTTTTACAATGCCAATTACCAATGGATGGGATAAACTATAAAGTCACGTTACAGCCCCACAAACTTAACCTATTTCTACATGATCCATTGTGGATCTCAAATTTCAATTGCACTAAAAACACATTTAGGCATAGCAAACAGCAATGTTATATCAGTAAAGGAACTGTGTATAACACTGCTGGGATTGAGAAAACGTACCACAATCTTCTGATTGAGACTCTCCCTTGCTTCAAAAATATTGTCGAGCAGAATCTTACCAACCTCACTACGCATCTTAGACACAGCAAGCTGACGAACAGCAAAGATGGGGTTCTCTATACCATAAGAAGCCAGCACAGGATCCACAATCTGCAAAAAAAACCTTGTTATAAATGGAGTAAACACAAAACCAACACAACAATGCAGAGGAAGAAGAAGACTAAGAAGAAACCGTTAGAAAAAGTGTGCCACCGATGCCGATGGTGACATTGTCCCTAGTGATAGCAGACTGGTCGGAAATTTGTATGGTGTCTTCTTTGAGGGAGTGGACGTAGGCGACTCGATCCACAACGGGGACGAGGAAGTGCAGTCCCGACTCCAGCGTCTTCACATACTTTCCAAACCTCTCAACCACGTAAGCCTTCTGCTGAGGCACATTATGGACACCCCAATTCGCGGGAGGGACTATCTCGTAGCCATAGCCATAGCTATTCACGCACCCACAAACTCAAAACTCAGTATCAACAAAAAAGATAATAGCTTTCTTTTTCTCTGTTTAAAAAAAAAAAAAAGGTTGATGAATTACCTGGGATCCCGGGAAGCTCGGTAGTGGCGGAGGGAGGTGGAGGTGGCGGCGGCGAGTGGAGAAATCAAACGGCGGTTGGAGGAGATGGAGGTGGATTGTTGAAGGCATCGGAGAGTAGTCCTAAGGGAATTGGCTCTCCACATCTTTTGGGCAGAGGAAAAAAAGGGGAAAGATAAAGCCCTACCTCTGCCTTTGGCTGCTGAGTCAAATCGGATCGGAGTCCTCCTTTCTTTTTCAGCTCACTTAAATCGTCCCTGACTCACTTGCCCAACAAGAAACTGCAATGGGCTCAACGGGCTGCCTTAGCCCAAAATCCCATGCCTCTGGAGGATGGGAAGAAGAGAGAACTAAGACGGTTTTTGCTTTTCATTGTGAGCCCCATTTGTTTAAAATAAAATAAAAATAAATAAATTTTTAATAAACGTGTTGAGTACAGCTCAAACACAAACTAAAATTATTGGATTGGAAACAAATACCTGTCTTAGAGTCCGGACCGGATTCTTAATTTTATCACCTTTTGATATATTTATATTAGTAGTCTAAATAAAGGAAACAAGTAGAAGAAGAATGGGAAATAGAAAAACAAAAAGGGAGGCAAAGAGACCATAAAGAGATTATTGTTCTTTTTTTACTCTTCCATCTCATTTTCACTGAATAAGAAGCACTATATATGTATTCTACGTGCTGTGGTCCAGTAGTCACTTGCTGTTCCAAATGACAGCCCGTGGTTTGCACTTTCAAGTCTTGGGAATAGTACCTCCCACTAACACTATTAACACCTCTAACATACTAATCTCTAACCATTGTTCTTATCAAAAAAAAAGAAAAAAAGAAAAAAAAAGAAGCACTATATATATATAGAGGTTAAACTCTCATTGTGGTCTCCTCAACTTTCACATGGCCCAAGTGAGTTCCTCAACTTGAAAAATCTTTGATTGCAGTCCTTAAAGTTTGATACTTTGATTGCTTTTTAGTCATTCCATTAAATTTTCCTTAAGATGACCTATCAACTGAGGAAGAAGAATGATATGTCCAAAAATATTTGAGATAAGATTGACAACATGGGTAAATGAATGATGTAGCAAACAAAAACCACCAAGTCATAAGTTGCATAGGCCTAATCACCAATTAAACCACTAAGGGAGGAGTTACATGGTTTATGGATAACTTCAAGGGGCTGCTGCAGGGTCTAATAGCGCCGGGACCAGCTATCAGGGATAACATCGACGTTGATGGAAGTTTGCCATATTCTTGTATTCAAAACACATTTGAATTTGAGACAATCACCTGCTAATTTGAAATGATCATGATGATGAAAAGAAGGTATTACAGAAATTTAGAAACGCTTCAAGAGTTTAAGAGCTGTTATTGGACTATTAAACAAGAGAAGTAAGTTTTCTTGACACGTTTAGAATTCAAGAGTAGTGTTTACAATGAGACGTGATAGTCTTGAAATGCAATGCAATTGATGTGAAGCGTAAACATTTTGATGTACTTTTGTTTGATGTCTAAAAATTTTGATCAACAGGAGAAAGGAAATAATTCCTGGAATCCAGTAATCTTTGCCTACTTACCCTTTTAATCACAAAATGGTGTGAGGTCAATGTTGAAACGTTGCTTCCCCTTGCTTACCCTCTACAAAAAAACAACAAAGAACAGATCAAGGATAAGACTAGATAGAAACAAAACCGTTCATATTAAGGACAGGCAAAAAACTTACAGCTATCGCCATTAGTTCTTCTAGCAATTCCTCCAAGTTACGAAGAGGCTATAAGTTCACAGCTAAATTATATAATCTGGTTAAGCCATCCATAACAATAATGCAGCCACTTTAGAACTTAAATTCGTGTAATAACCTTTACAGTTTTAGGTATAGATATAGGAATTATGGATGGCAAAAAGTGTATACATTAAAAATTATGCATTTATGCTTGCACAACAAAAAATGATGAATTCAGTTCTTTAAGGGCTGCAATAGTAGGATGGTCTAAAAATGGAGATGTTCTTGAATTTCACTAAAAACCAGAAAGATAGCTCGCTTATTGTGTTGGTCCATCAACTGGTGCATTTGGAGGATCATCATGCACCTACACAGCAGGCAGAAGTTGTTAGAAGCTGAAAGACATTGAACTCAGGGTTAAAGGACTGTTATCGCAAACAAAGAAATTTCTCAATTTACACATGAAACTTCATTCAGATCAGGTTTTACAGAAACCAAGGCAATTTACTCAGAATAATATGGCAATTCCAATGACCTACAGGAACTCCAGTAATCCAAGTTCAAGAAACTAAAGTACAAAGTAAAAGTAACACCATGATTCCAGTTACATGTCTCAAATTCTATATATATTAATCAGCGAAACCACTTTGTACCTCCATGAAAATTTCATCCACTCCAACAGCAGCAGCAGTCCTTGCCATGCATGGTATTAGCTCACCAAGACCTCCACTAGCGACACCTCCACTAGCGACACCTCCACCATCTAACCATACAAGAAAGCATTTGTTTAGCCCCTTGATTGGAAAATAAAATTCAGAGGAGATACACAAGAATATGCAATAGACTAAAATGGGAAAATCTATCAACAGATAGAACAGCATGAACATATCTAGCAAAGGTATTAGAACAAATAGAGAAAAGAAACAAATATTGGCCATGTGAAGAAACCTCCTATCAATATATTCTGAGATGTCATAAAGCAGTATTGCCAATTGTAAACATCAGAATCGGAACAACTGATGCAAGTTTTCTAGTTTTCTACACTGACTCGTATGCTACAATTTACTCACATATATGGGATCAGTTGAAGGATTGACAATCAAGAACCTACTAGTTCCTTTGTTTCCCACTAGTCCTCCCACCAACCAAAAAAAAGAAGAACAAAGAACCAAATAAAAGAAGTTTGTAATCTCATCCAATTCAAAACAGGAGCACGTTCATTCCCAAACACTGAAACAATTCTAAGTACATTAAATATAATAATATTGGTTAACTTTCAATAAAAAACGAAGATATCACACCTTTCTTCCTGCTGGCTGTTGTAATGAGTGTGTTACATCTGCTACCTGCTGTGAAAATATAAATCATGAAGCAAATAAAAATCATTATTTTATTTTCTTGATGGCATCATCAATGTATTTTTGAAAACAGATAAAAAGCAACAGCCGAGCAAGCATATAAGAGTTAATATATTTTTTCAGCCATAATGTCTTGGAAGTTTGAAGAATAAACAGTTAAAGAATGAAACTACGAAGAAAGCAAAACTTACAAGGAAATCTTTTGGAAAAATGAGAATGTAAATAAATTAAATTCCAAGTTCTTTAGAATTGTTTGCTAATTTAATTTATTTGGAAGAGAGAAACAATATAATTTATCAAGATTCTGCAGAAAATACTTTTTTTTTTTTTTCAAATCATACTTATGCAATTATCTTCAAATTATTGTTTTCTTCATAATTTTTGCAAATGAAATGAGACAAAATAACTGTATGTCAAGAGGCATGGAAGAAAACAAAAATGAGCAATTTACTTACAACAGGACAATTAGCCTCTCTCATCCATTCCAAATTCCTTGGATCAACAATCAAATCATCTATGAATTAAAACCAATGATGAAAGATCAATCAGACAACATAGAGGAAGAAATATACATAGATGAATTAATCCTAATATCTACCTAAGGCAAGACCTTAGAATGGAATATGGTTAAACACTATATACTAAAAAATT